CCCTTGCATATTTTTCGTATTTGGCCCGTGAGAGGCTAACTATTTATCTTTATAGTTCAGCAACTAAGCCTCGGATAATATTTTGCAAGAGGAAAAATAGTCTTAGAATTCGCTAAAAAATACGATAATATTAACCGAATGCGATTGTTTCCCGGGCCGATGAAATATCTTGAAAACTAAGCATTTCCAAAATAAATCTTACCTACAAAAGTTGTAAGGTTTTTAATGATCTATTCACGGATCTGATCAGTCTGAGCTTGGGTGAAAAATAAGGTTCGTATGAAACATTTTTCAAATAAAAGTTGTTTGTTTTTTTTTACGTAGAATAAAATTCCGTAATAAAAAATACATGTTTCTATTTAAAAAAGTAAAGTTAACCTTGACCTGACCTTGGCGACGCCCAAGGTCAGACTGACCAGATCAGTGAATAGATCATTCAAAATACTACAACTTTTATAGGAAACATTTCTTTCGGAAATGCTTAGTTTTCGATATATTTCACTGATTCTTTTTACTCACCCTATATATATATATATATATATATATATATATATATATATATAGTTTTTTGCATAAATCGATTTCTGGAGTAATTTTGCATTTAAAAGTACAAAGATAAAATTATCGGAAAATTAACCCTTTACGAGATATTTTATATCTTGATACTTTTTTCATAATTCAAGGTATAAAATATCTCCTAAAACATTCATTTTTCGATAACCTCATCATAATATTTTTCTACATAGGATGACAATAGAAATAAATTAGTGATACTATCTTTACAATCTTTACACACTTCATTTCAATAAATCTGCAAAATGTACGCAATTTTTTTTTTAATTTCTGTTTTCCTTTTTTATAACAATTAATTTCATTCTTGAAGATGTCAAATAGTACTATCCCCGTATGTCCTAAAATTTTATTTGAGATATTTTTTGTACATCAAATTTAGAAAATATAGAGCTATTTCCTAAAAATAGGTTATTCTGTATACACACAAGCAGGCACGCGCAAACATGTGTATATATGTATGTACAAAAAATATATTTTTACAACACAAATATATATAATATATTAAATAAATATATTTTTACAAATATATTTTTATAATAGTAAAAAAATATTATTTCTATACACACGTGCACGCGCACGCGAACGTGCACATAAATAATTTATTATAACAACTGATAGTTGTAAAAAAATAGATAAAGCTTAAGAAAAAATTTCTTTGCATTTTGCGTCAATATACTAATGTACAAAGTGTTAGTGATATTAATCAATTGCTTTCATTATAAAAGTATTAAAAGGATTATAAGGAAAATGCAAAATCTTAAAAACAGAATGAAATTTAAAATATAATTTTATTTACAAATAATATTTGCATATAAAATTTTCTAGATTTTTTCATAGTTTATTAGTTCACTTTTGTGCAAATTAATATCAAAGTTTTAAAGAGAGAATTTATGATAGATTTTTTTGGGAGAAACTCGATTTTTTATGTCAATTATCAATAAAAATAAATATTTAAGATATGTAACAAATATTCCTTCATATTGAATATTATACATAAATGAATTTATGTATAATATAAAAAATATTACATTAAGTAAAAATGTCGAAATTACTGAGTCTTGTGTTGAAAATAGAGCAGTCGAAAAATCTATTATAATTTATAGTAATGTTAAAAATATATATAAATATACATATCCAAGTAATCAATAAATAAAACAAGCCAATAAAATTTAACATTTCTTAACTAATAAATATTGGGTGTACAACTTAGTTCGGTCCGTTTTCAAAAGATGGCTCTAGGTGCTATAAATGGTTGACGGCGACAGCTGATTTTTGCTGTATCGTGAAGTGTCAACATCTGTCAACCAAATATTGTTTACAAGCCTTTGAGTTTTGCACAACAAGTTTAATTTTTACTGCGTTGAAAATGTCGAGTTTCGTTCCAAATAAGCACCATTTGCGGGAAGTTTTGATTTTCTGTTTCAATTGGAAGAAAAGTGCAGCTGAAGCGCATCGAATGCTTGTGGAAGTTTATGGTGAATCTGCACCGTCGGATAAATCTTGCAGAGAATGGTTTCGACGATTTCAAAGTGGTGATTTTAGTGTTGAAGACAAAGAGCGTTCGGGTCAACCGAAAAAGTTTGAAGATGAAGAATTAGAAACATTACTCGATCAAGATTCGTGTCAAACGCAAAAAGAGCTCGCAAGAACATTGGAAGTTACTCAACAAGCTATTTCGAAACGACTCAAAGCCGCGGGATACATCCAAAAGCAAGGAAATTGGGTCCCATACGAATTGAAACCGAGAGATATCGAACGACGATTTTGCATGTCCGAAATGTTGCTTGAACGGTACAAAAAGAAGTCTTTTCTGCATCGAATCATTACCGGGGACGAAAAATGGATTCACTACGACAACCCGAAACGCAAAAAATCGTATGTAAAGCCCGGCCAACCGGGAACATCAACGCCGAAGCCGAATATCCATGATGCCAAGGTAATGCTCTGTATTTGGTGGGATCAGAAGGGTGTGATCCACTATGAGCTGCTAAAACCTGGTCAAACCATCACGGGAGACTTCTACAGGCGACAATTGATCCGTTTAAAGCGAGCTATAGCCGAAAAACGTCCAGAATATGCGACCAGACACGAGTCCATAATCTTTCACCATGATAACGCTCGGCCTCATGTTGCTGTTCCGGTTAAAAACTATTTGGAAAATAGCGAATGGGAAGTTCTGGCTCACCCGCCTTATAGCCTAGACCTTGCCCCTTCCGACTACCGTTTGTTTCGATCGATGCAGAACGCTTTGACTGGAATACACTTCACTTCAGAACAGGGTATCAAAAATTGGCTAGATTCATTCTTGGTTTCAAAAGATGAACGCTTCTTCCGCGACGGAATCCATAAATTGCCAGAAAGATGGGAAAAAGTAGTGGCTAGCGATGGACAATACTTTCAATAATGTATTAATTCATTTTATCATTCAAATAAATGCGTTTTTCAAGCAAAAAACGGACCGAATTAAGTTGTACACCTAATACATTTAACATTTCTTATTGTATGTGAATGGAAAAAAATGTTTTAATTTAATGTTACATAATTTAAGTATAATTTTCTCCGATAAATAGTAAATTTAGAAGTAGCTTTCTTGATGCGCCACAAAAAATATAACATTGGGTGTTACAACTATCATAAAATAAACTTATGGAAAAATAAATATTTTACAAGATATTTTATATTTTATATTATAAAGTATCAGGATAAAATATAGAATATCTTGTAAAATATTCATTTTATGATAATCTCATTATAGTACACTTTTATATGCAATATAATTTGTAAAAAGGAACCATAATTCCATTAAAAAATTAAACGACGCTGAATCTAGCAGACAGAGTTGGCAGGCGAACGCCGCGGCCCAGGGACGAATAATAGAAGTGGGCCTCCAGAAAAAAAAATTTTTATAATGCAATTACAGCTTTCAAACTGGGAAAAGACATAACTCTTATATCATTAAATGATTTTTCGAACGATTTTCAAGCAAACGAAGTTATTAAACAATATTTATAAATGTTCATAAGCATTTCTTAAATAATAATAGCAGTAGCTCCCACACGCATTCGATTGAACGTACCAAAATTGGCTCAAATATTGTTTGAAAGATGCTTGGTACACCGGCATGTGAACCGCGAGAGAACGCCTTTATTAAACAATTTTTAAAAAATGTTAAAATTGTTGCTTACTTAAGAATTCAGCACACGCATTCGATTAGACGTACGAAAATTAGCTGAAATATTGTTTGGAAGATGCTTCGTGCATTGGAGTGTGAACCGCGAGGGAACGCCATTGTTAATAATTTTTTTAAAAATATTCATAACTGTTGCATACCTAAGAATTCAACAGCTTCCTCACGCATTCGATTGGACGTACGAAAATTGGCTCAAATATTGTTTGGAACATGCTTGGCGTTCCCTCGCGGTTCACACTCCAATGCACGAAGCATCTTCTAAACAATATTTCAGCCAATTTTTGTACGTCCAATCGAATGCGTGTGGGAGCTGCTGAATTCTTAAGCAAGCAACAATTTTAACATTTTTAAAAATTGTTTAACAAAGGCGTTCCCTCGCGGTTCACATGCCGGTGTACCAAGCATCTTTCAAACAATATCAGAGCCAATTTTGGTACGTTCAATCGAATGCGTGTGAAAGCTGCTGAATTCTTAGGTATGCAACAGTTATGAATATTTTTTAAAAAATTATTAACAATGGCGTTCCCTCGCGGTTCACATTCCAATGCACGAAGCATCTTCCAAACAATATTTCAGCTAATTTTCGTACGTCTAATCGAATGCGTGTGGGAGTTGCTGAATTCTTAAGCAAGCAACAATTTTAACATTTTTAAAAATTGTTTAACAAAGGCGTTCCCTCGCGGTTCACATGCCGGTGTACCAAGCATCTTTCAAACAATATCAGAGTCAATTTTGGTACGTTCAATCGAATGCGTGTGGGAACTACTGCTATTATTATTTAAGAAATGCTTATGAACATTTATAAGTATTGTTTAATAACTTCGTTTGCTTGAAAATCGTTCGAAAAATCATTTAATGATATAAGAGTTATGTTTTTTCCCAGTTTGAAAGATGTAATTCATTATAAAAATTTTTTTTTCCGGGGGCCCACTCTATTATTCGTCCCTGGGCCGCGGCGTTCGCCTGCCAACTCTGCCTGCTAGATTCAGCGTCGTAAAATTAAAACTGACTATAAAATCTAACTTTTAAAACAATAGCTTAATGGCATAATAATATTACCATCTTATGCTCTCTTGAAGTATTATAACTTTTGTCTAAAAGATTTTCTGAAAAAACTTTACTCTTTCAAGATATTTTAGTCTAAAATAGAATGGGACACTTTGTACATATATTAAGACTATTATATATTATGATAATTTAATGGTGAAATTAGTTTAAATAATTAATTTAAATATACCTTATAATCATCTATCTTCTTTTGCAAAGGAAAATCATTGCGGCCATTGAAGAAATGAAAATATCGGCTCTGGATCCCCTTTTTGTAGAGAGACGTGGCAATCATTTGTGCTACATAATTTTTTCCAGTTCCTGGAGTACCATGGAAACTCATGACTAGTGCTTTTGGTGAATTGTGGGTATAAAAATGCCCACGCAATGCATTTATGATTGTTTCATGAACAATTTGTTGACCATACAGATTGGCAGCAAATATATAATCTAGCCCTGTAATTTTATTATATATATATATTTACATAATATAACATTTTTTATATACAAAACAGCATAGTTAGAACAATTCTTTTATTGTGAAACTTCAAAATGCTAGAAGAAAAATAGAAAGATTTGTAATTAAACATACATATATATGGGACTATATGACATATATAGAAGAAAGGTAATTATACAGTTTATACTTCTCACTTTCGATTTTGATGAAAAAATACTCAATCGACGCGTTTTTTAAAGACAAACAACTTTTCTACTTGGAAAAATCGTCACTCTCTACTACGAAATAAGATATTAATTGACAAAGTTGATCACTATTAAGGTTAGGAAAACTGTCACACCGACGATAAATAGCGGCGTGCATATATTCTGTAGCCACATGCACATGCTCTATGTATATGCAAACAATGTGTGAATTAGAACTATATTTGAACATGGGTAACACAATATTATTGAAACATTAATATTCAAACATTTGCAAACGATGAACTGAGGGTGTGTATTTATAATGCATTGCTTATATTTCTATAAATATATCTATTAAACTTTTGCCTTACTAAATAAATGAGTCTATATAATAAATGCCTTACTAAATAAATGAGTCTATATTAATAGTAGACAAAGTTTTCAAATATACTAATAGTAGACTCATACATTTAGTAAGGCAAAGATTCAGTAGAACATTCTCCCTTGCATAGGGATCTTGCTAATCTTTTCGGTATTAATGATTTTTAATATATTGCAGACTTATTTATTTAGTAAGACAAAAGTTTAATAGATATATTCATAGAAATGTAAGCAATACATATAAATATATACATTATAATATACATATATACATTATAAATACATATATACATATATACATATATACATATACATATATACATTATAATATACATATATACATTATAAATACACACTTTTCACATTAGCGTACTTGTACATGTAGCCACAGAATATATATCTATTACATATTTGTTTTATTAAATAAATTAATCTACAATACAGTAAAAATCATCAATATCGAAAAGATTAGCAAGATCTTTACACAAGTGAGAATGTTCTATTAAATCTATTCGCCTTACTAAATATATGATCTATCTATATACTAAAATGGATACTGAAAAAATTAGCAAGACTCCTACGCAAAGTAGAACGTATGAATCGCACGCAAAACCAATGCTGAACATCATGCAAGATGTATTTCTCTTTTTTTTTTTATGTTATTTTTATCAAACCAGGAGGAGAGAGCTAAACCCCTCCCGAATCCCTCTTGACCGGGAGTTTCGCCTTCTGGACTCTCAGTTCATCGTTTGCAAATGTTTGAATGCTAATGTTTCAATAATGCTGTTACTCATGTATGTTCAAATATATTTCTAATTAACGCACTGTTTTTATATGCGCAAGTGGCTACGGAGCATATACACATCGCTATTTGTCATCGGTGTGACAGTTTTCCTAACCTCAATAGTGATCAACTTTGTCAATTAATATCTCGCTTCGCAGAGAGCGACGATTTTTCCAAATAGAAAAGTTGTTTGCTTTTAAAAAAATGCGTCGATTGAGTATTTTTTCGTCAAAATCGGAGGTGAGAAGTATAAACTGTATAATTACCCAACTACTATATATATATATATATATATATATATATATATATATTCAAAATTTAATTGGATTTTTATGAATAAACTACTACACAATGTGATATGAAATAGGTATATGGACTGTATCATATATAGGTGTAGCCATATATCAAAACAATGTATAGTGCAATCTCGTAACATAATTAAATTAATCGATGCACGTCTATCATGTTTAATAAATAAATAATTATTAGTACATTGACGAGTGCGGGTAGAAGAATATATGTTCATAACTTACTGTCTACATCGTGAAGAATA